TAGATCTATATATATAGATCTATATATATAGATCTATATATATATATATGGTTATAGTCTCTCCAGCTCTCCGTGACTTTAATTGTTTCCATAATAAAGTTATTGAGGGAAACAGATCATGAAAACACAAATCTTTCTAATAAATGTAGAAAGTTGTTTGTTGTTCAGTCTACAATCAACATTTATTTAAACCAGATGTTGAATCAGAAAACGAATCAAATATAAAGCTTGAGTTTAATCTGTGATCCGTCTTCACTGTTTACATGTTAAACAAAATCTCATCAGTCTGATCGGCTGCAGCGTCCAATCACATGACTGATGAACAATGAGGGGGCGTGTCAGCCGTTAAAACACTTCCTGTAAGTCTGTTCTCATGGGTCCTCGGAGATCCCTCCTCCCTCCTCGATCCTCGCTCCTCTGAGCGAGGATCGAGGAGTGAGGAAATGAGAATTAAGAGACTTGAGATGTACCCTGTGTGACTCTCACAGAGGGGGCGTGTCTACAGCATCGGACTATGATTCTCCTCCGTGATGAAGTGAGCGGTCAGTCTTTTCCTCTTCATAGAGGAACGATCTTCATACTGAAGTGGTGCGTGAGTGGATTTCGTAGCGTGGATCAAGAACTTTAACCAGATTTTGAAATCCTTTGTTTTCCACACCGGAGTGTCTCCCGTCGCTGACAGACGTTATGGTGGCGCTTCATATGTGTGGACATGTCCGATGTATTGATGTTGTCGTGTGTCTTTCTCTAAACAACGCCTACATACCGTAACGCGTTTGTCCACCACCCGTATCCCCAAAGATGGTTGTTACATACATTCAGGATTCAACTTATGTGTTTTACCACTTGCCCGATCAGGCCAGTGAGTTGCTAGATTTAGTAGCCGAAGTGGCATTTTACTTTCCAAGCAGGCAATCCTTTTTGTTGGAGGATTCTGCTGCTTAAAACATTACAGTTTGTTATTGTTCCCTTCCATTTGTATTCTTGTGTAGAGTCCTCTATTCTCAGTCCTTGTTCACCTATTTTGGATATAATGTACACCCTGTTTATTTTAAAACTAATAAAAAATGCCCTTCTTTATTATTGTAATACAATCAACTTGTATAGCTTATTGAACTCTGGGCGAGATAAGGTTGGAGTGTCCTTGCACTTGAAGATCCAGTAGACCATTTAAACCTGTCTCTACAAATCAACTTGACATGTAGCCACATATTTGATTGGCATGGCTGAACTCATCTGTCAAGGGAGTCTGGGAAAAACAAGTTGCCACAACATATACATAACATGATACGGAGTTAGAACTGGACCCTCTAAAAGACTACAAGATAACATAATTATGAAGATTTGACTGACACCATACAGCCCAATCAGAGCCTTCAGCCCATCATATTCTGATACATAGTGTATGACATACAAAGTGCTGAACTCAAAGTTAATCTGGTGTTGTTGGTCACAAGTTATCAGTCATTGTGTTTTTAAACCTACCAGGCTCAGAGCCCAGTCTCTCTCACACTTACTCTAGGAGAGGAGATGCTGACTCATCAGAAGGTAGTGTCCGGTTCATCAGAGGAAATCCCCCAAATGAAACAAAAAGTAGCACAAAGCCACAGTCAACCAGACCTGAGGTGCAGTTGCCAGCCTGTCAGTAATCCAAGGTGCTACGGTGAAACACAAAAGTGCGTAGTGAGTAACCTCATGCTTCAGTGTACTTTCAGGTGTTAATGTTTGAAACATCATATCAACAAGAAACAAAAAGAATGGCCTCCATTAGAAACGAAATACTTGAAAAATAAACACGACTGTAAACAAAAAGGCATTTTGTTGCTGAGTATTTAAGATTTGAGTGTCCGATTTAATACATTAATGATAGTTTTTTCTAAATTGCATTTCATTATATAAAAAGAAAAGGCCCCCACCTCTGCACTTTCATTCAAATTCAAGCCCTAATATGACTATATTGTGTCAACAATGCTTTTGAATGTGCACACAGTTCTGCATGTACAAGTAATTCATGAGATATTTTGATGGGTTTCAAAGAAGGTGTTTAATGGCATTAAGGAGCAAAAAATCAACACAACACCAACCGAGTTAGTGTAGGCCACTCCAACGACCACATGGGGGCGCTCCAGTCCAGAGAGCTGAGTATGTGGATGTTCTACTTGAAAATACCTTTTGGGGATCTTTTCTTATGAAGCACTAAAGTATAGACGCTGTTGCAAAAGAAATAAACAACAAACAATTCTTAAAACCGTACAAAAATAAAAAATACAACACACATTATTATAATATGCATTATATTGTTTTGTTACACGTTCACAATGAATTTCTGAGTTGCTTCACAGGATTTGTTTATAATGTTTTATGTTTTTCATATAACGTGAACGCAGCATCGTTCAATCAGACTCCGGGGGGACAGCATAGACCAGGGGGAAAGTAATTGGGTCTATGGTAAAAGTGAACTACGACTCCCAGGGTGCATTTCTGCCAGATTCATCCAATCACCGATCTCACAATTATGTCACATGGGCCGCAAACGACGGGTGGAAGTTATTCACTATTTGGGGTCTTTTTTAGTTGAATTCAGCAACTATGGCGCCGTGTTTTGCTAACAACAGCAACAGCGACGCGTTTTGAATTCGCTACCGCGCCTCAGACTGGATTCTTCTCCATGGCAACGGCGGCTGAGGCTCATGGGTATTGTAGTATTTCTAGTTGTTCGCCAAACCAAAAGGACTGATACAACATAATTTCCCAGAAACAAAGTTGAAATGAAATCAGGTGGCCTTATCGTTTACATATATGATCGTTACATTATCTGGCAGTGTGTGTTTATCGTAAGCGACACTGAGGAAAGTAAAAAAAGAATGAGACGGGAATGCAGAATGGTGAAACGTACTTCCGGCCCCTCCCACCTCGAAGAGATTCACCAAGCCAGCCAGTCAGAGCGCTTCTACGGAAAGCCGTTGGGTCAAACCACTGCTTGGTTAAACCCCCCCCCCCTTCGCAATCAGCGATCTCGACAGTCCGACATTCTTCCAATGGCAAGATAATGGTGATAATGGGGCCGCTATTCAAGGCGAAGAAAAAAACTGCTGCATTTGTCGATCGGCGTTGAAGTTTGCCGATGGTCGCTAAGGACCGACAGCTGGATGAGCAGAGGAAGCAGCGGCAGAGAAGGGTTCAGGTGGTCGCTTCAAGGAGACCGCTGTGATGCTACGTAGGCAACTGAAAGAAAAGGGCTTTTCTACTATGAGAGAGTGTGCGTGAGCAACAGAGGAGCCCTACCCTTCTCTTTTTTCTTCTTTTAATTTCATTTTTTTATATTTTGGTTGTCGTTTTGCTGTTTTGTTAGGATACAGCGAGGATTCACAGTGAGCTGGTGAAGTTTTGGGGAATGGCAGGTCGAAGCCGAAGAGCATGGTTTAGTGTTCTGCTGGGACTGGTGGTCGGGTTCACGCTGGCGTCCAGACTCATCCTACCCAGGGCGACGGAGCTGAAGAAAGCGGGACACAAGCGAAAGGCAAACCCGTCCGGCTGTGGGTTGAACTGGGGTCACAGAGCGGAATACAACGGGTTACTATGGCCACTGCAAGATAACGGGTCACCGGCGACCGAGAAACCTGGACCCAGGTCCAATACTTTCCTGTTCGTTGGTGTCATGACTGCACAGAAATACCTGAACAGCCGAGCGGTGGCGGCTCACAGGTACGTGACGTGTCTCATTTACCCACAATGAGCATAGCGGTAACGGTCCCAACAGTCTGCTCTCTGTGTCCGCAGACCGGAGAGGACGTGGACCGAGGGTTCGGTTCACAGCCGCTTCATACTGTGTATTTATTAGGTAGATAGCAGCCCTTATTTCTACCATCTCCAGCTGTCGTCATTAGTCGGGCCCAGCTCCGTTTCTGTCGTTTTAAGGGAATTCACAAGAAAACATGTAACAGTGACAGCTAGTGCTGCGTGATGGTCTGAAATGATAGAACACTTCTAACTGCTGCCTCTTTACCTAAGTCGCTTTAAGGTAAGCTTATCAAAGTCCACTCTGTCAGCACCAAAAGTATCGAGGATCCTATTGTGCCTCTTCATTGACGCAACACGATGTAAACACTGAGCATTATGGTTATTTTTTCCATCAAATGGAAATATTCTACATGTCTGCTTCATCCTTTTCGACACATTTCTCCAAACGTCTTTGTAAACTTTGGGTTAGAACTACAACTTGCATTGCCAATCAGTCTGTTGATTATTTCTCCAGTTAATCGATTAATCATTTAGCCTATAAAATATCAGAAAATAGAGAAATGACACAATCACAACCTCCCGCAGCCCTAGGTGACGCCTGCAAATATCTTGTTTTATCAGCCCAGAATCCCAAATGTGTTCAGTCAGAATGTTGCACGTCTTTCTTTACAAATGACTTGAATTGATTGTTCGTTTCCCAAGTGACTAGGTCAGGCTCACTTGACTTTGCACATAAGGTCCAGGGCTTCATGCCTCCCAGGGTTACTCAAACCTTCTGACATCATCAGCCACCAGAGCTGTGACCTCACTGCTCCACAGAGTCTCACTGAGGACCTGCTTTGTTTCTGTAGTGGGGGCCTGGTGTTTCCACTGAACATCTCCTGGGACCTCAGACAGAAGCTTGTGACTCTCATGTAGTCATTGCTGACTCCTGCTATGTTCAAGACCCACAAATAAGAGTTGTCCTCAAAAACAAATGAAAGTGCAAATTAGACAAGCAGATCTCTAAAATAGATTATGAGAGAGGATTGTTGTCTCGTGAAGCCTCCTGGGTTTCTAGGTTCAATAAGGACCCATCTGCACTGTGCTGTCAATGACCAGTCCATCAGCAGCAGACACAGATGAGCTGTATATTCTGTTAAAACAGTTCTTTCAATTTCCTCTCAAAAACAGTTGGAATGAATGCTTATTATTTTAGGCTTTTGCTTGAATCATCATGTAGGCTGAGAGGAGATGTATCCCTGCTTCTACATGGCAGACATGTGTGATCATTGTGAATGAGAGCAATAGAGCGCTGCAGGAATGAAATCCACAGATGAGTCAGCATTTTTGCACTTCATGTTCCCTTGTCTCAAAGTCAGTGGGTTATTTGAATGTGTTTTTGATTAAATACCTGTTTTCTTCTACGCTAAAGTAGGTCAGTAAACGCCCCTCTGGTAAAGGTAGAAGCTTCTATGCGTCTGCTAACAAGTGTCTAAATGAGACAACTTCACGTCCTCACTATAGAACACGAGTCCTTCTTTAGCTTAAAGGTGGAGATGTGAAGTCATGTGACCGTGGTGGAGTTCCTCTTTAGCTGTCTACCTTTTTTTTTTTTAAATACACGTTATACTTTTAACTTCTGCTGATTGCATTCACACTTCAGAAGTCCTAAACGTGGTGTTCGTTTGTGAAGAATATCTTGCTGAACAAAACATGTACGTATCAAAAACGTCTGTTTTTCACAGAGTTTATTTTGTGCAATAATCCAAAATTCAATGGAATAATCCCATTGGCTTTCTGTTGAGGGACCAGTGTGATGCTGACTAACTAACTCTATCCTCTTAACGTGAGACCACGTACTGACCCATGTTGATGAATGTCTGTGGTCCTCCTCAGGTCACTCATTCTGATTTCTTTAGTAGAGGAACCACCACACATCAGTCTTAGGGGCATGTACATGTTAAAGGACAGCGTCAGCTTTTCTCCACCGTGACTCTAAACATTTCCCATCATTTATATTCATGCAAGGAAAGGCCTGACTCCTAGCTTCATCAGTGAGAGTCCTCCTGCTCTGCTGCAGCTTCTCATGGTGCTCACACACCGTCTGTCTAATAGGAAGTATTTAAGAGACCTGACGGGACAGTCACACATGTCACTGTGCTCTCCTGCTGTCCATCAGCTTTTACTGGCTTTATTGTCCTCCAGCAGTGAAGAAGGTGAATGGGATCTGCTAGAAACGTGCCTCACAGAGCGACGTTTATTTCCACATATTTGATCATCTCCCACTTGATCTACGGCAAGACTTTGACTTTGTGAGTGGAGTCTGTTGTTTGCTGCGGTGTATCTACGAGTATGTCGGCTCATCCCTGCCTGGTTTAGCTGGGGCTGCGTTGTTTTTTGGGCTGTCAACGAATATTCTAGAATCTAAAACACAGCACTACCTGGACTGTCTGCCTCAGGTGCACTGAATGCACCGCATGACGGGGGTCAAGCAACGTCGGTCAACGTTAGCGCTCTGTCATCCGGTCCACACCGAGTCGTCTTCAGCAGCTCCTGAGGACTTGAGTGGGCAGCAGCTCTCTGACCGGCCTTCACCAGGTTGACTGACGGCACAGGTTTAGTGAACCAGAGCCGTTATCATGTCTGCCCCACGGGGAGAAATCCACAGCGTGTGTAGGCCCATGTATTGATTCATTGATTTGATTTCCTCCACAGACAGACTGGGTGATACATTTAATATAATGGAGCTGCTTTACTTGTGCTGCCTTTGTAGATAAGAGATCTCACTGTGGAAATGCTTTTTTCTCGTGTTTGGAACTAGCTGACGTACGCTGCTACATAAGCTATTTGTGACTGCGTCAGGAGAGCGTGCTGCGAGCTGGCTGAATGTCCATTTAGTGCTGCACACACATGATCAATGAGAAGTGTCTACTCCACCAGTGATGACATGCACAGGCATGTGTGTGGTGGTGAATGGAGGTTGTGGAAGTGCTGTTATTTAGTGACATTGTCGAGACATTTTTAGGGGTTTGTCACAATGTTATTGTCGTGGACGTTCTGTCAAACCACTGGAAGCAAACACAGAGTAAATCATCAGTATTGTTAGTAGAGCCGACACAGAGCTGGCAAACACTGTCTGATTGTCTTTAGGCCTCCCTCCAAAGTATCGCTGGGCCATAATAATTCAATATGATAAGTTATCGTCTTGTGATGAAATCATCCATCAAGATATCTTGATACACAGTAGTATCGACTAAATTGATAATAACAAATTACTGAGAAAACCAGAAATATGTTGAGGGAATATCATTTGAAGATTGAGTTTCTGTTTCACGTCAGACTTTACATTACCACTCTGTTCAATGTGATCAACAAACTGTTAATTCACTTTAAAGTTATTAATTAAGAAAATAGTCAGTTCTTTTCATTTGTCAAGTATTTCATTCACACAGGAAAATATGAAACCATGTGGTTATTTCATAGA